TTGGAAGATGCAGTGGGGAGCAGGGGACATGCCAGCCCTTCCTCCTTCCTCTGGGAGTGGGGGGTAGGAATGTGCATGTAGGCGCATGTGTTGGGGGAAGTGGCATTCCGAGTGGCAGAGGGACCTGGGGGTGACTTCTCGTGCACACAGTCTCACCAGGAAGCCAGACTTCAAGTTACGCCAAATGAGTGGTAGAAATGACTAAGTGAGAGGACAGAGTAAACTCTGTTCACTGAACACCAGTGGTCTCGCTGGGTGAGAACTCCAAAGGGGCAGGAGGAAGGGTGGAGATCAGGCTGCGAGTGAGCCCAGGAAGGGGGCCGAGGGGGCCTGGCCCACGGTCAAAATCACGGCTCCGGCGGACAAAGGACGCGGGAAGCTGCGAGGCAGGCTGCAGACGCACCGCACACTTCCAGTTTCTGTCTTTCAGTCACTGACCGAATGCTCTGCACATGATCTGCAGCTAGCTCCTGGTACAGCATTTCTGTCCCTAAGAGGAGTGATGCAAACATGGGCAGGAGCAATTCCAGGCCCTTCTAACTTTACACCCCAGGCGGAGAGGCCAACAGAAGTGCAGCTCATGTCAAGGCCAGGCAGGAAGTCCAGTAAGAGCGCTACAGGCAGCAAGCGCTGCAAAACGAGCTTCTTTCCGTCCTCAGGGGCAGGTGGGCGCAGGCTCCCCCGGCCCTCTCCCGCGCCTCTGCTCTGCGGGAGGGCTAACACTGCCTAGAGCTCCCTGTCGCTGGCCTCGCTGTACGAGTCACGGTTAAAATCGCTCTAAAAATTAATGAAAGGCTTTATTTGTGAAGAAACAGTAAGGTGATAAAAATGAGTACATTTTTATAATTTTATTATTAAGAGTTGCAAACACATGCAAAAGGACAGAGCGCAGCCTGGTCGCCGTGGCTCAGCGGCTGAGCATCGACCTAGGATGCAGGAGATGGTTCGATTCCCGGTCGGGGCACATGCCCGGGTTGCGGGCTCCATCCCCAGCAGGGGGCGTGCAGGAGGCAGCCGGTCAATGACTCTCATCCTTGATGTTTCTCTCTCTCAATAAAAATTTTTATAATCAATAAAAATTATTTTAAAAAAAGGACAGCACAGAATAAAAAATCCTCATGTACCCATGACTAGCTTCAACAGTTTTCAACATGTGCCAAATCTTTTCCACTGCCCTCCCTCTGTATAATTTAAAGTAAATCCCACATGTCATTTTATATCATGAGTAATATTTCAAAATACCTCTCACAAAGCTAGGACTACTCCTTTAAAAAATCACAACCACAATGCCAATATCGCACCTAAAAAATTAACAATATTTCTTGAATGTCAAATATCCAGTTGCCTCATAAATGTCCTAAATGAGTTCTAAAAATATTTTATACTCTATGCCAGAAACAAAAGTAAAGGCACCAACCTGTTATATAATCAGTGGTATAAATGAGAAGCCCCACGACTTGTGTGATAGCCAAGGATCACTGCTAGTAAACCTGTCTACAGCCCTGACTAGGTGCTTGAGGAGCTCTACATATAGTAACTCACTTAACCCTATGATACAGGTGAATTACCAGTAGAACCATTTTATAGATGAAGAAACTGAGGCCCAAAGAGGTCACATAACATGTCCAAAGTCACCCAGCTAACCCAACTGTCCGTCAGCCGATGAACGAACAAAATGTGGTCTATCCATTCAATGGAATATTATTCAGCTATAACAAAGAATGAAGTACTAATGCCTGCAACAACCTGGATGACCCTTGAAAACACTATGCTAAATGAAAGAAGCCAGACACAAAAGACCACATACTGTATGATTCCATTCACGTGAAATGTCCAGAGCAGGCAAATCCATAGAGACAGAAAGCAGATGAGTGGTTGCCTAGTGCTGGGGAGAGGGGTAGTTGGGAGTGACTGCTAATGGGTATGAGGGTGTCTTTTTGAGGTCATGAAAATGTTCTAAGAGTGGATTGTGGCACTGGCTGCACAACTCTGTGAATATTCTGAAAACCACTGAATTGTACACTTTAAATGGGTGAATTGTATAGTATGTGTATGAAATATATCGCAATAAAGCTGTTTTTAAAGAAGTAAATTTTCAAAAAGTTTCAAGTTTATCAAACCAAGGAATACTTATTGACCATCTAAAAGGCATATACTAAAAAATAAATAAATAAATAAATAAATAAATGGCATATACTAAATTCTATGTAAGTTACAAAGCAAGTGTAAACCCTGGCTGGTGTGGCTCAGTTAGTGATCAGAGCGTTGGCCTGGGGTCCAAAGGGTCGCAGGTTCAATGCCCAGTCAAATGTACGTACCTGGGTTGCAGCTTCCATCCCCAGGCCCGGCATGCGGGAGCCAACCAATCGATGTGTGTCTGTCTCACATCGATGTTTCTCTCTCTNAAATCCCACATGTCATTTTATATCATGAGTAATATTTCAAAATACCTCTCACAAAGCTAGGACTACTCCTTTAAAAAATCACAACCACAATGCCAATATCGCACCTAAAAAATTAACAATATTTCTTGAATGTCAAATATCCAGTTGCCTCATAAATGTCCTAAATGAGTTCTAAAAATATTTTATACTCTATGCCAGAAACAAAAGTAAAGGCACCAACCTGTTATATAATCAGTGGTATAAATGAGAAGCCCCACGACTTGTGTGATAGCCAAGGATCACTGCTAGTAAACCTGTCTACAGCCCTGACTAGGTGCTTGAGGAGCTCTACATATAGTAACTCACTTAACCCTATGATACAGGTGAATTACCAGTAGAACCATTTTATAGATGAAGAAACTGAGGCCCAAAGAGGTCACATAACATGTCCAAAGTCACCCAGCTAACCCAACTGTCCGTCAGCCGATGAACGAACAAAATGTGGTCTATCCATTCAATGGAATATTATTCAGCTATAACAAAGAATGAAGTACTAATGCCTGCAACAACCTGGATGACCCTTGAAAACACTATGCTAAATGAAAGAAGCCAGACACAAAAGACCACATACTGTATGATTCCATTCACGTGAAATGTCCAGAGCAGGCAAATCCATAGAGACAGAAAGCAGATGAGTGGTTGCCTAGTGCTGGGGAGAGGGGTAGTTGGGAGTGACTGCTAATGGGTATGAGGGTGTCTTTTTGAGGTCATGAAAATGTTCTAAGAGTGGATTGTGGCACTGGCTGCACAACTCTGTGAATATTCTGAAAACCACTGAATTGTACACTTTAAATGGGTGAATTGTATAGTATGTGTATGAAATATATCGCAATAAAGCTGTTTTTAAAGAAGTAAATTTTCAAAAAGTTTCAAGTTTATCAAACCAAGGAATACTTATTGACCATCTAAAAGGCATATACTAAAAAATAAATAAATAAATAAATAAATAAATGGCATATACTAAATTCTATGTAAGTTACAAAGCAAGTGTAAACCCTGGCTGGTGTGGCTCAGTTAGTGATCAGAGCGTTGGCCTGGGGTCCAAAGGGTCGCAGGTTCAATGCCCAGTCAAATGTACGTACCTGGGTTGCAGCTTCCATCCCCAGGCCCGGCATGCGGGAGCCAACCAATCGATGTGTGTCTGTCTCACATCGATGTTTCTCTCTCTCCCTCCCTCCCTCCCTTCCACTCTCTCTGAAAATCAATGGAAAAAATATCCTCCTGTGAGGATTAACAAACAAAAAAACAATTGTAAGACACAAACTCTGACCTCAAATTGCTTGCAGTTCAAGAGAAAAGGCACACGTGCAGTGTATAAAAATGGCCTTTTGCATTATGAATGTTTGCCTTTTTTTACAGGCAGTCAACTATGAACCTGGCTTTCTGATTCATAAAAGCCATTGGGCTAGGGTCTAACGAACGCACAACTATGGCAAGGCCAATCCTGCTACAGGGGGCCTGTAGAAGTCATGATCGACCACAGGGCTCTCTTGTGAGAGAGCAACCTACAGGATTCTTAGGGAGCTGAGGCTGGGCCTATTCATGTTATAACGGAAATAACTTGCATAAATGTTTCCTCATTAAACAGAGGCCAGACCAGCTTGGCAATTCCAGGCTGAGCAAAGGCCCCTAGGCCTGGGTCGTCCTCCCTTACCCTGGGTTTAAGAATGCCCAGGGTAAACAATAGCACAGACTATCCTTAGCTATGGCTGCTGAAGGTGTGCTCTGTCCCTCCAGCGCAGAAGCTGCACACACCCCACTGACTTAGCTACACAGTTCAGAAAAAGTAAGAGCTACAGAGATCCTTAACGAAGACTGGGAGAGTTGTGGTCATGAAAACTTGTGTGTGTTTAGAGGAGGAAGAGGAGGGCCACAATAGGAGATATAATCTTGGGAAAGGACAGTTTGAGGATCTGAGGCTGCACAGTCACCGTTCTGCTGAAGACAACTGAAGAAGAGGCCCAGGAACCTGGTGGATCACTTGCAACCAGGAAGGCTTCCTGAAGCCAGCATCTACCTTAAATGAACAGCAAGGAAAGTGCCATTCCTCTGCCTGGGGACGAGGGACTTAGGGCTGTAGGGCTCTGTTCTACCCCAAGGCTACCGGGACAGTGTCTAGCTCAATGTCCAGCGACCCCTTGAAACCCATATGCGACGTAGGTTCTAAAGCCTGGGTGCACGTCAGAAAGATGCTCACATTTTACAAACACGTGAATTCAGCCAAATTTTCTAAAAAGGATTTGCATCCTCTGATATTTTCAGATAACGGTGGCGATCAAACTTTAGAATCTTACTTAAGCTGACAAATGTTTATGGTTTAAGACAGAACTACAAGTAAAACCCTAGTCCATGAAGTAGAAACTCCTATTTCGAGCTTTACGAATTATGCATCTTTTCCTGAACTGCCTGGAAAGAACATTTCATATTTGGGTTAAGTAGCTTGGGCCCAGAGTGGCCTGCAAACAACTTAGCAATAGAGCCCTGTCTCCAAGCTGCCTTGATTGCACCACAATCCTATCTGAGCTACAATCGCTAACATTACAGTGGTCTCCTTACCTTTCACGACGTCAGCCACATTGCAGGTGGGATCGATACTTCCGATGTGTTTAGGATGAGCAGGATTAGTGTCACCACCAAACAGAAGTGCTAAACAAACACAAAAGGGAAGGGAGAGATGATAAACAAAGCAGGCTGGGACGGCCAAGCAGAGGAAAATAAAGGATTCTTGTATCCGTAAGAATCATTTTAGCATCCACAGTGGCTTAAAGTAACAGAATACAGGGTGGGACAGAGGCAGATTTATAGTTGTGAGTACGTGAAACACAGTTCATTCTTGTATTACTATTTATTAATTGTTGCATTAACTGGTTAAGTGAAAGAAAAGCAGAAGTGACAAGTTTAGTCCATGACCTAAAAACATGCACACATATACACAGACACACATATTTAGGTCAGAAAGAAACTGCAGTTATTTAAGTAGTTTAGTTAAATAGTATTTAGGTTCTTTTTTCCCCTTTATTTTTCCTGTAAATTGTCATACACTTCTTTTTTGAATAAAAGAATTACCTGTATTGTGATATCACTGGGATGATATGCTCTGGTTATTGTTTTGAAGAGTTATATGTTTTCCTTGTAACTAATGTGATTTTATTCTATTACAGTTGACATTCAATATTATATTAGTTTCAGGTATACAGCACACATTTCTATTTTTAAAAGCTATACATTTAGACCCAACCCACATTTATTTTTTTATGTGCCCCAGGCATGAAACAGCTGGCCACCAACACAGGCATCGAGCTAGGATGAACCAAGGACTGTGAGTCTGCTTTGCGTCTGTTGATGTTAGAGCAACACTGCCAATCGGGTGTCTCCTTGTCCAGCTGCCAGGGGGTCCAGCCCACATTTAATAGTTATGCAACATTCATTTATCTAAATAAATAAAATTAGTAAAATAAAGATACACTGCCCACTTTCTGATTCAGCACAGAGGATGATTTAGACTCTAGACGTGTGGATGCTTTTTCATAAGAATTATGAAATCGGGCAAAGAGACAAAGCTGAAAACAAGCCCAAAATATTTTTTTGTGGAGAGAATTTTAGTTACTGTTTTTTTTTCTTATCTGCTTATCAGCCTGGAGAGTGGACTAAAACTCTCAAGGCAAGAATATGGTTGGGCAATTCGCTTAACATGATTTCACTGATCACTGTGACCTAAAAGATCAATTGCTCATATTGTCAACGTGCCAATTCAATATTCCCAGGATCAATGTTTTTAAAACCAAAAGGGAAACCACCTAACATCCTGGATAAAGACTAGAACATTCTCTGAGAGACATATGAAAGTGTTCGGAGGTGGCTGCGGCTGCCATTAAAGCTGGACCTTCGCCCCCACCAGGGATGGAACAGCAGAGGCTTCAAAGGCAGGCAGTGCCCCGCCTCAGAGGAGCATCAGAAAGCCTTTCAATGACTTCTATGAACAAAGAATATGAATGAACAGCTTTTTCATAGATAGGATTGACTCAGAAAAAACTCAACTAGGAATGAAATTTCTACAGACAAAAATGCAGATCCGCCCTAGCCGGTTTGGTTCAGTGGGTCCCGGGTTCGATTCGGCCTTGGTTGCAGGCTCGACCCCTGGCCCCAGTAGGGGCCCGTGTAGGAGGCAACCAATCAATGTGTCTCTCTCCCATCAATGTTTCTCTCTCTCTCCTTTCTACTCTAAAAAGCAATGGAAAAAATATCCTCGGCTGAGAATTAAATAATAATAATAATAATAATAATAATAAATAAATAAAAACATAAGTCAGTTTTTAAAAAATGCAGATCCATAACAGGAAAACATTTGGGAAAAATCATTCTGGTTACCAGTTCAAACCTGGACCCAAACCCCAACTTACTGTGCTGGTTAATAAGCATTCGGAAGGAGATGCGGTTGGTATAGAAGCGGTCCAGAAAATACTGGATGTTACTGCTAATGAACGGATCGAACCCAAACTTCTCCTTGTATTCAATCACTCCTTGTGCCATTGTAGGAACCACATCATTGTGTCTATTTCGGACTTTAACCAGAACTTGTAGAAAGCTGTGTGGGAGGGAAACAAAAGTGGTCAGTCCTTATATCTCATGGCTGATGCATAACCTTCCCAGCTCCGTCTTCAGGCTACTTACCTTCTGGCATTTTTATAGGCAGAGACATCATAATCAATACAGGCTACAAGGAAGAACTCACGGGAAACTAAAGTATTACCCGAGTTTTTGCTCGAAACTTTCTACAGAAATTCTTCTTTTAGAGACACAATAAGTAAACGATCCCAGTAAAGAAAAAAATGCTCAAATACCTTTTAAAAGAATCCACTGACTTTCTGGATAAATGTTTACATATAATGCAGGTTCTATAAATACTTGCTGAATAAATAACTGCAAAGCCTATTATTTCTTCTGACAACAGGAGGACAATCCAAAAAAAACTTTGCAAGGATTTATTATGGGGTCTCAAAGTAATAGTTTCCATGCATAAATAATGTCAAACTTTTGAAGAGAAAATTTTGAAATATATTTTTCACAGCAATAAAATATAGTGATGAAATGTAGATAGAATAAAGGCAGTTAAAACAAACCTATTCAAGTATTATGGTGCACTAACTGCAGGGATGCAGAGGGAAAATACATTAAGGGTGGAAGAGAAAGACCAGTCAGTGGAACCAAATAAAAAGCTTGGAACCAGGACCAAGGGTGAGTGAGTCTGCGTGCATAAAAATTGAGCATATCGATAAAGTCAGTAGGCAAGCAATCAGACTGCTTGGGATAGCTGGCTAACAATTGTCACAACCCAAGTTCAAGCCTTAAGCCAAAAAGTGGGTTAAGAGGTTTAAATACAAAAGGGCAAAGTCACAGAGAAGATAAAAGAAAATCAGGTAAGTATCTAACCTTGGAGGAAAGAAGGCTCTTCTAAGCTTAACAACTAGAAGCAGAAAACACGAAGAAACAAATTATACGATGAGGTAGAATTGCAGCAATTCTGTCAAAAATTACAAAGGGGCCAGCTGGTGTGGCTCAGTGGTTGAGCGCTGACCCATGAACCAAGAGGTCGCTGGTTCGATTCCTGGTCAGGGCACATGCCCGGGCTGCGGGTTTGATCCTGGGGGGGGTGCAGGGGGCAGCCAATCTGTGTCTTTCCTCTCACCGATGTTTCCATCTCTACCCCTCTCCCTTCCCCTCTTTCTAAAATCAATAAAAACACTTTTTTTTTAAAAAAAGGGGGAAACTGGGAAGAGTCTATTTGCAAGAGTTACTATCCTTAATAACGAAAGAGATGAGCCCCTTAATGGAAAACTAGCCAAGGGATCTGGTGTCAAAGGGAAATTTACCAGAGGAAATGCAAATGCCAAAAACTTCACCTTCACAAATAATAAAAGAAAAACAAATTAAAACAGTGCAACAGCTGTATTTAAGAGCTGGTCTTCAGAGCACTGTTCGTAGTTGTAAAAAAACTACAAACCATTCTAAACCCCAAAGATAGGAGTTCAAATCCCATGACTCATCTGTAGGCCGACCATTGTGAAACTGAATGATGGTGCAGATCTGTTGTTTTTGTAAAAAATATTACATATATATGCAGCCTAGTTAAAAGTAGGGATGGAAGGAAAATGTTAACAGTGGTTGTCCCCTGGCAATGGAAATGTGGAGTGACTTTCTTTTTACTTATCTGAACAGCCTTATTTTTCCCAGAGATGAAATACATCTGTAACAAATGCATACACACAGCAAAGATCAACTCTGAAATTAGGAGGTCATAATTATTTACCAGAAATTTCATGATGGACAATTTGTCCTTTACATAATGCTCCTTCTAACATATTTATAAATTAAATAGCACTCAAGTGAAACAATTCATTATAGTAGAGAAATGTCTCAACTTACCTGAAGGGAGGAGACTTGCTTTCATGGTTCAATTCTCAGACTACTCCCCCAGCCTTCTGGGCTCTTCCAAACTTTAATATTACATAAATGTGCTTGTCCTCTAAGCTACGTTCACCTTACTTAAATGAGTTCCCTGCCCGTGACTGCTATCTAACCTCTCACTGAACGAAAAAGGCCACTACCAGGAGTAAAATGACTCACTTTCACTCCTTCCTTCACCATGAGCCCCAGGCCTCTAAAATCCAACTATCCTAACCGGCTGCGTGAGCCCGGGCGCGTTTCCGAATCTCACTGAGTGCGAGCTATTATCACCATGATCTTATGCACACTGGATCCAGCACCTGGCAGTTTCCAAAGCAGGCCCACGTCCATAAATCGCATCGGACTGACAACCTGTTCCAGAAACCGAGACGGGACTCCGGGAACCACACAGCAGAAATTTAAGATCACATAATTCCACGAATCTATATCCTAAAGTTTGAAGCTAGAGAGAGGCCAGTCTTAATTTTTAGGATATCAGCCAAACACTTACTCACTAATGACTTCTGAGAAAACAAAGTTTCTGGATTGGATTCATTTAATTTCAAAGCCTCGAATGACAGCAAGAGCTGATAGTAAGGAAAACACTGCATCTGGGGCTCTAACCCAATGCCTCCCTTCCACACTTCACAGATTCATTACACAAAACACCCAGCGAAGTATAAAATAGGTCAAGGGCTTTTTCCCTTTACATTTTAATTTATAACTAAACCTGGCCTAGCTACTCATGGCTCGAACCAGCAGTTCTAGCAGCATGGTGCACGGTCAAGAACAAAATCCTGTGGGAAAGGAAATGTGATCTCCAGATCCAGCTCTGCTAACTGATGTTATGGTCTTGGGCAAGTCACCTCATGCCTGTGACCTCAGTTTCCTTATCTGTGAATTGAGAGGGCTGGGTCAAAGTCCTCGAGCTAAGGTTTTATATAACTGCTGTTTGTCTAGTTCTTTTAATGGAACACCTACCTATATGTAGGGTGTTCAGTCTCACAATTATGTGCACCAGGTTTCTACTTAGAAAGAAACTCCTCAGCACAACAGGCTTGCCATATGCATTCACTCATGTGTATATGAAACACGACAAAAGGAATGTGAAAAGGATACTTCATTTCTCTTGGGGGAAAAAGCCACGCTCAGAGCCAGGGTTTGTATTTTCTGGCTAATTGAAAATGAAAACCAGAAATCTCTCCCATCAGCATGAGAATTTAGCAGCCTTCGTGCATAATAGCAGCAAAAGAATTGAGGCTGTCATATAAAAATCACACTCGTTTCTGCTTCTCTAAAATAAAACCATTATTGTTTTTCTGAGTTCAAATGTAATATCGCATTGGAAAAATTTTTAAACTGTACAGGACTGAAAAGATTGTGTAATAGCTTATTGGTACAGTGGAAGAAATGGGTGCTGGGCCAATCAAGAACTCGGAGAGCTCTCACCAATCAGTCAGAAGGCAAGAGAGAAATAAATGAAGGACTTCCAGTACTTATGTTGAATAGGAGTGGCAAGGGGGGACATCCTTGTCTTGGTCCTGATATTAGAGGAAAAGATTTCGGCTCTTCGCTGGTCCTTCCTCAAGTGGCTAAATGACCACAGAAGGGCAAGCAGGAGGAGCAGACTTAGAAGACTGTAGGGCTGATTTGTAAAGAAGAGCCAACTGCAGGAGGACTGCTGGGCCCAGGGGTGGGGATGACAGGGGTTAGACCGTCATTGTGTAAAAATATTTACATATGTAAAAGTATTTTTGCAAAAGATAATTAGAGCATTAAGATAAGCTTCAGTGTCACACAAAATGTTTTAAATGCTTTTAGTGGGTTAATTTCAAACATCCCTTTTGCATCACGTATTACTAAACCACTTAATCCATATGTAATACAGACTACAAATCTGTGAATCTAATTCATCACGGGAAACTTCGAACTGCCTGTGGTAGTTAATTACTATAGCCAGGAAGTAGTCACTTTAATGTAAAGCACATCCCAATGAATGATGCAATTACTATATTAAATAAATGTCTTTGTATAATGTCACCAACTCAGATTGAAGGTAACAATATGTAATGCGAGAACTTCATCAGTGGTCAGGATTACTAATCTTAAGATGTGTCATAATGCAATAAAAAGATAAAAAATTTCATCACTGTCACAAACAGCCTAGTTAGTTAACTGTATGAAATTTGTATCTGGGTTATTTTAAGCTGTAAAAGTAAAGGATTTGTACGTCGAAATAAATCAGTGTTTAAAAAATACTGCAAAGGACTGAGTAGATAGATAGATAGGTTCGTGCACACACAGAGCCCACTGCATTCTTAAAGCGACCACTAGGTGGAACATTCGCCGCACATCTAGAGCGAGGGCCCGCTCCAGTTCCCCGTAAGCAAAAAAGAATTAGATCATATCATGCTAAGCGAAATAAATCAGATGGAAAAAGTCAAGAACCATATGTTTCCACTCATATGTGGGATATAAAACTGAAAACAACAAATAAACAAACAAGACAGACAAATGAGCAAAAACTCAGACACAGACCACAGTGTGGTGGTTGCCAGAGGGAAGGGGGGGGTAGTAAAGAGTCAAGGGGTCAAATATACGATGAGGGAAGGAGCCTTGACTTTGGGTGGTGGGCACACAATGCACTGTGCTGATGCTGTATTACAGAATTAAATACTCGAAGCCTATGTGATTTTATTCAACGATGTCACCCCAATAAATTGAATAAAAATTCTTAAAAGAATTAGATCATGAACCATAATTTAAATGCTATTATTCCTTTTGTACTATGTTAAATTTTTAACTCAATTTGGGGGAAAAAAGGCAATGTTGAGTCGTTACCCATTAAGAAACCTAATGTTTTCGTCCAAATTATACTTCTTGGTTCTTACTGACATGAGCTCCATCCTCCAAACCATTTTTACCTAGAATTTGTTACTTTCAGGTGAGTTTGGTACCTTACTTACTTATCTAAGACCTTTGGATCCTCAGGGCTCTTATTTTCATACTCCAAAAGTTCAAGGAAGCTCTGCATATACCTGAAAAAGAAGAGTCACTGTGTTATCTGTCTACCCAATGCCCATTTCTCCTTTCCCTCTTCCTTAGAGTATCTCAAATTTGCACTCAGATAACATCCCCTCCCCTCCTTCCACGCAGCCCAAGCGCTTCAGGAGAAGCCAATGTCATGCAAATCTCCTGGGTGGCTCTACTCTTCTCTGGGTAATACTATTTCTCTTGTCGCAGATTCCTAACTAGTCTGATAGTCCAGGTCTAAGCCTGTTACTGCATCGCATATCCCTGGACACCGGGACTGGCTCAGGAGTGGGCACACTGTCAAAATTCCGACCAGTAAAATAAGAAGGGCTTGCTAGAGGTCTCTGGGAGAGAAATCAACTTGCTCTGCTTTTGTACAGTTTGCTATGTGGATGTGAAGCCTGGCACTGCTGCAGCTATTCTGTCACCAGGAGGAAATCCAGCCTGCAAATGAAGCCACCACGGAAAGCAGGGCCTTGATAAGCTCATGCATCTCTGAAAGCAACACCGCAATCTCATCCTATGGCTGGATCTTACAGTTACACAAGCTAATTAAGTCAGGTTTGGTTGGATTTTCTGCTACTTACAAACATATCCAACTGGCACACCAAGTCTATAGTTTGATTACCCAAAAAAGGGCATATAAATTGTAAGGAGCACGTGTCTGACAATGAAGTGTGCGCTAAGAACTCAGAAACTAGAAATAAAGAAGGTTCCTTCTCAAAGTTAAACTCCCTTAAGCCCTCAGAAACAGCTTCAGGATTAAGAATAGCTCCATATTTCAATCAGGGTCAGTATAAGACATAATGTGTCCAACATAAAGATCTAGAGAACAGAGAAAAATGGGATTCGGAGAGGCACATTACTGCAGCAGCTACATCCACACAGGACCTGCTGGATCCGGTGGGGATGCAGAGATTTCAATTACTCTGAGGTGTGTGATCTTTGCTTTGGGTCTTAACATGTCCTGAAAAAATTATCTCTTATTCTAATTATTTCCAACAATTAATTACACTAATCCTACCAGCCAGCTCTGACAGAGGATGAGGCTACTTAAGCAACTAAAAATGACTGCTAAGCACATAAATAGACAGAAATGATGTTTTATTAATCAGCCTTACCTGAACCTTGTGACAGTGCATAATACTAAAGTATGTTCATCTCCGGGGGTATTTTTTTAAAAGTCTCTGGGCAGATAAGGCTATGGATTAGATATTGGTAAAATCATCAGGTCAAACCACCCTACAAGGCCCCTTTTAAGAGGGAAAAGAAATGACAACTAAACACAATGCATGATCCTGCAATGGATCCTAAACTGGGGGGGGGTGGGGGGTGTTCTACACACAAAAAAAGAAGAAGAAAAAAAAGAACACTATTAGGGCAATTAATGAAATGAGAACAAATTCTACATATTAGAAAAATATTACTGGATCAATGTTAAAGTCCCAAATTTCACCATCACACTGGTTTTCTAAGAGTTGTTCTAAGTAGATACCTACTAAATTATTTAGGGGTAAAGAGGCATGATGTCTACCATTAATGCAATGGTTCAGGGGGAAAAATAACATGTGTGTGTATTATATATATATATGTGTGTGTGTACCGTGTGTGTGTGTGTGTGTGTGTGGTATACCATATATATCTACACAGAGAGAGAGAGAATATGAATGAGAACAGTAGGACAAATGATGCCAAATGTTAACAGTTAGTGAATGTCTATGAAGGTTCATAATGGGAATTCTTGCTACTGGTCTTGCAAACCCTTTAAGTCTGAAATTATTTCAAAATTGGATGTTTAAGAAAAGAAAAGGGGGAAATGGTGTGTGTGTGTGTGTGTGTGTGTTTGGAATGGCCATGGACGGGGAATGGTGAGGAGACACAAAAAGAGTTGGCACCGTAATTTGAGCCTATGCTTTGCCAGCAGCTCACTTTGAGGTCCCTGAAGTAACTTTTACATAAGTGATAGTAAAGGCTTGACTGTCACTGCCACCCAGACCAGCGGACTTGGAAGTCATCTAGCCTGCGTAGAACCCCCACCAAAGTAGCCCCCAGTAGTGCTGATATAAACTATATAAAGAAGTCTTGTGCAAACTTGTTGCTCTTTCTGAAATAAGCTATGCATTTCGGGTAGAAAGCACCTGACTGTGAGCTCAAAGCCATGGTCACCATCTCCTCTGGGTTCCAGGGCCCCTGTGCCTCCACAGTGAGGAGCTACTATCTGCCTGGGACAGGGATTAGACACTGTATCTCTCAGACTACCCAACAGAGTGTTTCTCAGATGATTCATTCTCAGCCCTAGGAATTTATTATAATTAATACTGGGGTGGGCAAAAGTAAGTTTATAGTTGTGAGTACATGAAACAGAATTTATTTCTGTATTTTTATGTAGTAATTATTGTATTATAGGAACAACTGTAAACCGACTTTTGCCCAGCCCTGTATACTGAGGAATGACTATTGAATGGCCATTCTCTCAGTAGCCTGGCCTCCCTTGAGCCTCTAAATGCAAATTAATTAATAGTCCCATGCTCCTTATATCTGTCCACATCATTCCCTTCCCCTAAAATGCTCTCCTTCTCCCTGTCATTTCCAGCCACCCGTCAAGGGGCAGTGCGAAACCACAGGTGGCACTGGTCCGGCCTCCAGGCTCCCACAGCACGTCCTCTATCCCACCTTGAGAGCACTCTTTGCATCTGGCCTCCCAAACTCCTCCAGCTTTCTCTGTGGTGACTTCTACCTTGCTTTTCTAATCCAGAGGAGGCCTGCAAATGATCTTGAATATATGCAAATCCCTTCCTAAAAGTACACCAACTCTCCTATATCCTATCACTCACCAACCTCAGCCTGCTTACCTAGTAGATAGTTGACTCACAAATTCAACTTCCTCAGTTAAACAACACATGCTTTACGCATCAGAGCTATATCTGATTGAACTTTAAGTTATACTTGCTAAGATTTTTCATACTTCTCACAGGGCAAATGCAGCATAGCAGGTACTGATACTTTTCCAATCTGAGGTCCCTATAAATGACTTAAGTTGCTCTAAAAGATACTGCCTTCCAAGAGTATCCAATGGAGTAAAGACAGTCTCTTCAATAAGTGGTGCTGGGAAAATTGGACAGATACATGCAAAAGAATGAAACTTGACCACCATACACAAAAATAAACTCAAAATGGATAAAAGACTTAAATGTAAGTCACGAAACCATAAAAATCCTGGAAGAAAACATAGGCAGTAAAGTCACAGACATCCCACGTAGTGGACTTTTCACTGATACATCTCCTAGGGCAAGAGAAACAAAGGAAAAAATAAACATATGGGACTACATCAAACTAAAAAGCTTCTGCACAGCAAAAGAAAACAGCCTCAAAATACAAAGGAA